CTGCAGGGCTTCCCCAGGCCCGGGGGCGACGGTAGGCACCTCCCGGAGCTCCTTGCCTCGGGATGGGAGAAGTTTTCGGGGAGATCGATACAAGACAGGGAAAACTTTCACTTTGTTTGGCTAGATGTAATGAGATCCTAAAGAAACAGCACTCTTAGCTTGAGAAACTGGACCATTGAAAGAGCTTTCTGATAGTAAAGTGAAGAAGGAGGGCCTGGTAGAAGAAAAGCCTCTGAATTTTTACATTCTTTTTCCAAGCAATGTTTTCATCTATTCTGTAGCACTTTCCAGGTCTCTCTCTCTCTCTCTCTCGTTCTCTGGATGTAACAGATTTTTAATCTCTTGGTTTCGTCAATCCGATTATGCTATTGCTATTTTAGTCAATCTCTTACACTGTGTTTTTTCCCCCAGTTTGTATATGAGTTTTCTTATCAGAAAGGGGTTACTCTATGTGTATTTGTATTCCTGGGATATCTTTCTCTGCCATTTTATTTTATTACCTTCTGGAAACACTTCTCTTTTTTTTTTCTTTTTTTTACAGGAATTTATTTGTAGCATATTCAACACACAATGTTTATGAAGAAAATGTAATTTAAGAAAAAATGTGCTGCATTGTAGTCATATGCGTCATATGATTGAACATATGTGTGTATTTGTGTGTTTATTCTAGATAAAGCTATACACAACAGACAATTAAGTGTAGAAAGACCTCTGGAGGAACAGGTAAGTGAAATGAAAAATATTCAAAATGCTCTCTGGTCTTTGTACCAACATAATAATTAGATCTTTCAGATACCAGAACCGTGAATGTCCTAATGGCTTCATAACTGAGTCATAAGGAGATTTATCAGTAAAGTAGATATGAGTGAGCTTTGGGTACAAAATTGAGTTTCAGTATTTTTTAAGATATTATATATAGAATTTTATTCTTCATCGTCCCAAAGGCAAGTCATCAGCTCCATCAGATCATAGGTGTGTAATTCCTTTGTGTTCAGATCTTGGGAGAATACAGTGAAAGCTTGGGTTGAAGAAAAGCTTAATTGGCA